GCTATATCTCACATTATACCCTGCCACGAAAAAAGAATAGGCAGTAAATAAAAAGTGATTACGTTCAGTAGCTGAATTATTCAGTATTCAATAGTTCTTATACCAGTCTCCTATGAACACATTTATGTAGAAAATTACAAAATTATTGAGTTCTTTCCAATACTTTCAAAGGATTCGTTGTAAGTGAGCTTTCCACTGTGCTTCATGTTCATATAGCACTACTTATGAGGAAAAGTGAGCCATCACTGATATTTGAGTTGAGCATTAGATTTTGCAGAAGTAATCTCTTTTAATTTTCAAACCGACGGTCAATAAATTGTTCCCATACTCGATTTATGGACTAGTTTTATTCGACTGTTTCGACGTCTTCCTCTTCATCAGAGAGCCGATAATCCGAGTCGATGGTGATATGTTACGGTCTTATGTCCTGTTGTTAATGCTTCTTTCTGCTACTGGACATTCAAACAGTAGATTTGTTACGATGCTGCTGACTGGTGGTGACGACCTGGGGAAGACTGGCTAAGCTGACCTCGGAACTCCAGGGAAACAGAACTACTAAACCAGCAAAACTCTGCGAAATGGATAATATGCTGGAGCCCAAACAGCCAGTGAGGACAGGCCGTCCAAGTATCCAAGTATCCAAGTAAATTACTTGAAAGATTTTTTGGTTCTTCATATCTTTGTGTTGTGATGAGAGATACTCAATATTTTGAATTGAAATTCAATTTAGGATGAGTCCTCCACTTCGGCAAACTTCGTTAACATATGTTTTAATGAGTGATTTCCCATTCCGATTCACTTGCATGGACAGCTCTAAAGGAATTCATGAGTGTCCCTTAAATTCCTCTATCTCATGGTACAAAAGGCATATTGTATGGCCATTGCACTACGCATTACTGAGTCAACGCTGCATAGTTCTAAATTAACTGTAGTCACTTTCTAAGAAGAGTTTACTATATGGCGAAGATCGGTAATAGTGTAGTGAATAGATTAATCACTAAGACGGCTCATAGAAAGTTTAGTCAAACATTGATTGTGTGTTGTGGAGTGTTTCGATTTTGAATTATATTAGAAGAATGAGATATACAAGATTTAAGGGAGATGAGGAACCGAGAAATAGGCGAAACCTACAATTTCTTGAAGGATATGCAGTCCTTGAGTTTCATATGAAGGAGTGGAGTAATTGCAGGAGAAGTATAGTCAGTAATTGTAAGAGAAGTTTAGGTACCTGGACCTTCCCTAGTCAGTACGTTCCTATAGAGTTGATGCCTACTTACTTTACATAACCCGTCATCACGTCTACTGAGCGTGTCCTGCCACTCCTCCCATTCGATTCGTTTTCCCCGCATTCGTAGTCTACAAAGGTGTTGGAAAATTTCTCGCATTGTTTCGACAGCGGCTTGAAGATTCCATCTTCTTCATGAATGCTGTAGAATTGTGGTCGAGTCGATTCTTCCTGCCGTCCTGTGGATAGCCGAGCCAGGGCGTTCCCACGTGGACTGGAGGTGGGTGTTGGGAAGTGTAGGCTCGAAACAGTATCTTGCTTCCTGATGGACTGCATTAATAACCACTGCGCTACTTCCTCTCCCAGAGTTGATATAGTGCACCAAAATATATTGAGCCAAAATGAAATAGTTTGTACAAAGAGTGAAAAGCCTGAAGAATTCAATACAACAGGAGTATGGTGCAAGCATGTGAAGGAACAGTTGAGACAAACAGGGCGACAGGGAAATATTGTATGAAGATAAAGGATGATGGAGGACATATGGTGTTTAATACAGAGGATTCTCTATGTTTTTCTATCGTAGGTAGATAAAGATGGGGAAAGATGAACGACCAGTAACTACAAATGAAATAAACTTATATCGCATACTGCAGTAATTCACCTTTCGATCCGAAATTGTCTGCAAAGTGTAAATGTCAGTGCCGTTTTGAAGATGTGAAAAGATCGGAGAGAACCGGTTCCTTTGGAGCTCAATTTCTAACGCATGTAAACACATGCGTTTTATCGATAAGTCAAGTATTACCTTCTGATAGATAGCGTCACTTTCTCCGGAATCATGTTAATTTGACGTCAAAGAACGTTAACATCCGGAATACTCTTGTAAAGAGAACGCTTCCAAAGTCGGGATAGGTGAGCACTTCCTGACACTTTTGAATATATCCTAACTCTTTTCAGCTCAAGAACGCTCCACGAGCTGCTGCTCTTCTATGCGATGCAATGGATAGATGGACTGATGGGCCGAAGATGAACGATGCCATTAGAAGAGTTGGCTCAACTACGTTTTACTTGTACTATACTTTCAGAATAAAGTACTTTAGCTGCGAGGCCGTGGTCAACTCACTGGTGACATTCAATTTAACGATTATGGAGAGCGCGAAGATATCGTGTACTACGGAATCGGCAGGATCAACTCGCATTTCACAAAGGTAGTACTCAGAATTTGTGATGATCTTAGGATGAGGAAGAGATAGATCCATTATCCGACACCTTTTGGATTTGGTTTTATTTCTCCATTGTTTCACCAATTTGTCTGTTAGTTCATCAAATATGTCTCGACTCACTTTACTGCCCACAAATTATGAAGGTCTGTTTTTCGCCAGGCAAATGTTTACAGTGCAGTATTGGCTTCTGCTTAGGATGTAAACTGGTTCCTTATTTACTCAGGAATTTTATTTATTTGCTCCCAGAGCTGTTGACGTGGAATTTATGAAGCTACTTACTAGGAGATTTCTAATGCTTGGATTCGCAGTTCCGCTACAACGCCACTCTTTCTGATGTATGTCAGAGTCCGTCGAAATCCTTACTATCATTCTTTTTTCTCGATACTCTGTATTAAGCTATATTTTAACCTTTTTTTTGCCAATTAGTTTTTCGAAGCTCACCATAGCAAAAATAAGTTTATAAGATAGTGGGTGTTGAAGTATAGTTGGTTCCAGCGATTTTTTGAGCTTGTAAAATCGGACTTTACATAGCCTCTCACTTGGCTCGATAGTTCAGTGACGGTGTGCTTCTAAGAGTCGTATTACGGTGTACAGTAAGGTGTTCCTCTCTTAGTAGGGTTCTTCAAGCGGTCAAATTGTTCAACGTCTACATCAGAAAGCTCGGATAAGAGCCAGATTCTACTAGAAATCACTACTTTCCTAGCATAACCTAAACACAAGGCAGGAGGCCTTCCTAACAGAGCTGTCGACTGCTCGTGGCGATAATATAAGAACTGGCAAGAGGCTGCAGACATTATGCTGAAGCAAATAATCCCATTCAGGCGTAAATTGTTCGGGAACCCGTATTATTTGTCACGAAGATATATCCTAGCATCATACTAGTATCCAATTAAATAACTTTATAGTTAATGTTTGCTTAAATACTTTCCATTTGCAGTGACAGATCTGGATTCCACCTTGTGATCGCAAATATTTGATGTTACGTTCCTAGTTCAAACCTTAGTTATTGCTCACGATCTTCTAGTATAATCATTGTCAAAAAAAGATGAGAGAAGAAACTCGAGGAGAACATCTACCTGTGGAGAGGATGCGATCGTTTTGCAAAGCACAACAGATGAATCTGGATACAAATGCACTAAATGTACAAATATTGCAAATCGATTAGAAGTAAAAATATTGGCAAACCCACTCATGAAAAAATTTTACTCAAAGAGAATAAAAGATATGGCCTACGGTGCTAATCAATCCTTGAGATATGCACCTTGCATACGACTTCACGGAGCACTCTAGAGATGATTAAATGCTATGTTTGCCTTATGCAATTAATTGTAATAGTCTACCAATGCATCAAGCCAATGTTTTCAACGTTCCAAACAAATCTAGCACCAGTTTGTTGATTAAGGCGAGAGTGGCACGATTGTAGTTAAACAAGACGTGCGACCTCGTTTGTGCCCACCAAGTCCTCTCATCCCTTCTAAGTCGTGAGTTTGATAGGACCATTGCGTAGAATCACTCTACTTCTTACAAAGCACAATAACTGGTGACTGCCTAAGATGAGGTTCTCGAAACGCCACGGTACTGCTATCTCAGGATTCTTAGGAGAATCGACAACACCAGCATCCAAAAGCACTAGGAAGGACAAAATCGTCAAGCGGCAGGCTAAACCTATACGCAAATACGATGACCTTCGTGGATGATTGATGTGAAGAAACGAATCGAATGCAAAAAGTGTTAGGATTCGCACAATATATGATGTCGGGTCGGGAAAAAATAGCCTGAGTTCTCGGAGGGATGAAGGGCTTTGTTAACCCGGTTCGAAGGATCGAACCAACGGTCACCTCTGTGTTGTAGAACACCGCTAACCACTTTACTTCGTTTTCGCCTCTTTTCATTATTAAACTTACTGTAATTCGTTCTGTTTTATATGAGGATATTTTCTCATGTAGGCTTGTTAAAAATTTATCCCACATTCTACAAAGTTTTTCATCATAGTGGTCCATTTATAATATCATAGTGTATTCTTTGGAGTTCCACATTTATAACCTTTCCCATCTCCCTGTACGGATTTCTCGCAGTTCGAAAAAAGGTAAAGAGGAAAGGGAAGAGGGGAAAAGCCAAACCTATGCCAGAAATGTAACAGTCAAGCGTGAAACGCGTTGTTTCATGCACATATGTATATATGCATATGTATGTATATATATATATATATGTATATGTATATATATTCATATACAATTGTGTATATATATATATATATGTATATGTGTGCGTGTCAAGATGGAGAACTTCGAAGTTGAGAGAACTTGTTTCGTAAACAGAAAGTGCTGAAAGCAATGATGAACAGCGTTGAAATTCTCACGGGAAGTGGACTATTAGCTACCAGCATGCCTTTCCTACTAGGGAATGGTAAGTGATCGAAATAAAATCGAGCAACATTTATTGATATTATATGAAAAATTTGTTTCAAATGCTATTTCCGTTGAAGCGTGTTCAGTAAGAAATCACACACGGTGTTTTTTTATATGTTTATCACAATTTATATATACAATCAGCTCTTAGCCTCTCATAGCTTGTTCTATTTCCGCGCGAACACCTGGTGGAAGCGACGCAAGAAGGGCTTGAATTTCCATACCCTTTTGTCGGTTCGTTTTGCTGGGATGACTAGCGATGGCGGTTAGTTGAGCATCGGCCTAAATTCAATGAACGCAATGGTGACTCTTGTAGAGCACCGTCGCAGTGATGTCAACACTCACCCTCTTCGCTTCGGCACTAAATTTTGCAACGGCTGCCTTGTGAGCTGCTTCTCCTTGGGCTTGAGCATCCTTCACTTGTTTCAAAAATTGTTTGAAGGCGCTCTTAAATTGGTGCATCAAATTCAGTGAATGCATCAGAAGCCTCTTCGTGATTCTCTAGTTGAGATAAGAAATGTAAAGAGGCGAATACTTTTATAGAGATAAAGGACTGTAAAATTTTCCTGTGTGGTAAATTGGATTTCTTAAATCTTCCATTCTATCGAACCACTTACCTGGATTCTCGCATCCTGCTTGTTAACCCAGTTATTAATTGCTGCATCAAGTTGGCTTTGAGTCATGTTTTCGGCACCCATCAACAACTTTTCGAATTCCTTTACTGTAGCAGGGGAAGCCTGAACATGTTTTAAAATACGCCATTAAAGTGGATGTGTTGGCGCGTTAATAGTTGTAATCAGTACTGACACCCTGAAGGAACGGTGGAAGATCCTGTTGTGATTGTCCTCCGACAAGAGAGTTGGCAGCAATGAGGAGTGCAATACTGGCGAGTAGGAACATACTGTTAAGATTGACCATACGCCGTCGCCGAAGTCTTTTATACCTGAGACAGTATGGAACAGGTTTTCGTCCGTGTAGAAGGCGCACCACACTATTCGTTTAATTGTTGCGTCTTAAAGTCGACAAAAAACGAATATCAAATTCGCTCACTCATCTCTGTCACTCCCCAATCAGGTAACAAACTATTGCTACCTCTGCGACTGACCAATGATCAATGATGGAATAGTGTCCGAGACAGTCCACGGGTTTCACTATAGACTAGCAAGTCTTGTCAGATCGCTTCTCTTAAGAGAAATCGCTCAGAATGCTCATCATAGTAGAATTACAAGTGACTTTGAAAGCGATGAAAATAGTGTTTTCTATGTTATATTATCGTTAAGTCGAGTAGTGTAATTCGTCATTAATTTAGCTCTTTTTACTAACCACGTCCTTATTTAAGTGCTAGAAGCAAATACTGAAGACGAAATAGTGGATTAAGGCATTCAAAGAGTGGGATAAATAACTCGTTCGGGTTATTTAGTCGTTTCGAAGCAAACAATATCAAAAAGGAGAGAAAGTTACAAAGTGCACGTACAGTATTAGCAGTTCTCGTCAAACTTTACTTAGCCCTTCACGACACGTTCGAAGCTCGAAAACACACCCGCTAAAGTTCTACGAATATGTCACTGAATCCACAAACCAGGAAATTTCCTATGTGACCAAAATTTTTTTTACACGAACCACCAGAACACATTGTGGGGATTCCAGCACAGCTTCCATTCTATTCATTCATCCACGAAGGCCTTGAGTTATGTGAATGAATCCAGCCTTCGCTAGATGATTTTTGATCCCCTTCAAGAATGTCCTTCAATTCTGATTGAGTCGACTTTTCCTAGAATCCTGAGATAGGCGTGCTAAGGCGTCCTATAGCAGTACCATAGGGATTCACCGTTCTGTACGGATCTAGGTGGGTCAATGTAAAATATGTGCATATTTCCTCATTTTTTTCGGGTTTTCATGCGTCAGATTTCACTTGTGCTTGTAATCCACGCATAAACCACCCATTGTCATACGTTAGAAATTCTTCATGGTTGTCGATTTTCGCCGTGCATCCATAATTGCCATCTTTTAGAGGCATATAAAAAACATTCATTGGCTTTTCGCCTGAATGGTAAGTGGTCCATTACGTCGTTTGTCAACCACAACCTATTTTACTCGTGATCGTTGACTGTTCGTTTTCACTTAACAATTAAAGTGTCTCACGAATTCCGTTGCTGCCACTGGTCTTCTGAGCCGAAACCCGTCCTAACACCTGGATTTGCAGCTCTATTGTTCTTTTTCTTTCTGAAAAGTACAGAACAGGGACGTCCTCCAATAGCGACTGTTTGCAAAGAGTCGCTTAGAAGGCGCATCTCGAGTGACTAAATGCTCCACAATAGGATTGTGGCACAACGTGATAGCATAAATTGGCACGGTTTTTACTCATCGTCTTACACGTTTTGTACTGAGTACAACTCCAGAAATGCAGTTCTAAGTCTTATTTCTTTAACAGCGTTTCATGCAAAACCCTCTGTTTTGCTGACGTGCATTTATCTAGACTAACTAGTTTACAGTGAGAGCTCGACACTTGGTAGTGTTCCCATTGTGAAAGTAAGAGGAGATACAGTGATTCGCCAAGCTGTCAACAATCAGTGGTGTTATTTGTTTTGCTCCACGTATTCGTTGAAATCTTGTCGTACTTTGAAGACTTTTTTACATGGGTTGGAAACTATTCCGTTCTAGGAGCACCCAATCCGGTGAGTTTTATCTTTAAACGGGACTGGACCTGCATTTTGTCACTTCAAGTTTGGCGAATATGCTATGATTCATTTTACAATAATGCTTTTCACCGGAGCGTACGTACTGAGGAGTAGCTTTATAGTGTGCTGCTAATTTTGCAAGTTTGTTATGCTCTGACTGAGATCTCTTATTTAGTGATTCAGTGGAAAATCGATAGTCGGAGCTTCTGTCAGAGAACTGTAAGTAGAAAATTACCGCTAAAACGACCTACAAGTTGTTCGAATAATGCTGCGATGATATTTATAGAGTTGTGGCTCATAAAATACCTATAGGCGTGATGACAGTAATGCGTAATATTTCCTAAGACAGCCAAGTGAAATTTGTCCTTGCCTTTTCTCCACTTACCTCCCAACGGTTTACCGCATCGTGGCTGGGAGATATTCTTGGGTTTTGGACTGTGATGTACAGCGACAGCGGAGTGATTCGTCCCCCAGCAGGGTCTCCCAAGCTGAGAAGGAGTCCGGCGTTTCCATCAGGAAGCCTAGCTAAGAGTGAACCAATACAAGGATCCTCCACCGTCCTGGTATCAAAGTCGCGTAGTTGCGAATCTCCCTCTGATCCACAAGGGCTGCGACTACCTGTGGTGCTGAAGATTTGGGGCAGACTTTGGCCAGGCTGACCTCGGGATTCCAGGGAACCACAATGGCTTAACCAGCAAGTCTCCGAAAAATAGTAGTTGTGCTGGAGCCCGCACAACCAATAAGGACGGGCCGTTCAAGTATCAAGTAAGTAAGTTTTTCCACTTAAGATTCCTCTTATTCAAAAGGGAATTGGATATCGAAGCATATTGGAAAAAGCACTTAGTCATATCACAAGGTATAAGACTGACTTGTCACCACGGTTTCAGCTCGGAAATTGGTCTGAGAAAACTGGCTGGCTTTTCGAGAACAGATACACGAATAAATGGGAATTCAACATCGATCCCGCCGCCGAGGATCTGGCAGGGCTTCATCTTCGTGTCGTCGTCTATCTGGTAGGTCTCACTCACCAGCCCAGCAATTCCAACCATATTGGCGTGCACCAACCAGTGGTTATAATATAGTCTTAAAAATAAATAAAATAAATATTGATAAGGCGTTGCGCATCCTCCAGGTTTTTAAGTAATTTTCCGAACATTCCTTACTGTGAGTACAATCAAGTCGCTTCGTGTTTCATTGCGCAAGCGTCAGTTGCTGTGATTCTAAGGGTTAACATGGCCATTGGAAAGTATGTCGAAAATGCTAGTAACATTAAGAATAGTTTTTAACTTATTGTCTACTGGCTACTCCTTTTTTAACAGCAATGTATATATAGCGGCATAAAACTTTTAATGATGCTAAGATAATTTTAGCTTATTATTTACTGCCTACTCTTTTTAACGGCAGGGTATACATTGTGAAATATAACTTCAATGATGCTGAGATATTTGCAAAACTCCGGACCGTAGGGGTATGCGGTGGAGAACGAACGCGCTATTGTCCTTTCCGGGGAGTAGCGCGTTCACCACCACACCACGCAGGTCCTTCGTTCCGCCTGCCTCTGAGCTAGTTCTTTGGTTCCCCGGAAAAGACAATAATGCGTTCGTTCCCCACCGCATACCCCTACGGTCCGGAGTTTTGCAAATATCTCAGCATCATTTAAACTTAAGAATAATATTGTAATACTGCTCATAGGAGTATATTTGGCAGAACAAATAGTGTTGCCACATTAACATCACAGTCTCATTTCATCAAATGAAAGAAAATTACCTGAAACAGGTTCGAGAATTGGGTGAGAATTTTTTCTTAAAGTGAAAGAAGAACTTACGTGGCATTGTTGAGATAAACTCGTCCTCAAAAGAGTTTTTCGGACAAATACATGGACAGTTGCTTTTAGGAGGAACCGTTCGTGACGAAGAACGCTGCAAACCACTATGAAGGCTTCTGCATCGACTTACTGAATGAGATGGCGGCGATTCTAAAATTCAACTACACAATCATCGAAGTCCAGGATGGTAGCTATGGCATAGAGGTGCACTGATGAGATCCGTTGTTGAAAATTCTATAGCCTCCTGTTTCCAGAAAAATAACGAACGTTGAAAGCTTAAATTTTTTCACTACGAAGGTTGCACTCTGTCTACAAATAAAATATAGATCAAAAGATTTGGTAGACGAAAAAAAACTGGCAGTAAGAAATTCGATCCAAACGAAACGTCTTCTTGAAATATTAAAAAGTTTTATCGTTGTCCTTCTGCAAGTTATCTGTGAAGAAGATTGTGACGTTTTCCTTCAATATAAAAGAAGGCCATTGATTTTCGTTGAAGTTCGGAAATAGTGAGAATTTCAGGACGATTCAGGTCGATGGAATGGCATCATCGGTGTGTTGCAGAGACATGAAGCTGACGTATCTGTATCGGCTGTGACTATCACCTATAGTCGTGTAGAGGTCGTGGGTCAGTAATACCTCATCTTCTGTGATTTCATTGTGTATTTATATGCAAAAGTTTTTTATATCATATAATAATGATGGAGATACACTGGGCTTCAAATGTCTGACAATGTGTTCGATTGAGTGACGGTTAAGGAACAACGTTGAATATCGCACAATGAGTTCTACGTTTCTATTCCTGTAGTTTTTAACATCTTGCCTTTTGGAGTTGTCCTAGAACACTGGTTCGTGAGACCCCAGATTAAATAGCCTTCTCATTCAGCGAAAACGACCTGAACTCGTCATGGTCGACACCAATGATAGATGATTGACGACGTTTTACCATGATCGATCAGTATGTATCGACTTAGGGCCTTTATACTTCCTCTATTTAGTATAGTCCAAGTTCAAATAGTTCTCTCTATCAACTCCTTTTGGTATTTAGATGCTCTTGCGGGATAAAAATTTCTTAATGATCGTTTTCCAAAATTTATTGTTGTACAACAAAACTAGTGGTATAACTCAATGAGAATCTGTTAATATCAGCGAAAATTCCAAAGGTTATGAATGACGTTCTTTGCTCCGAGTCCCGTGTCAATCATCTGCCGAAGCAGACTGTCGCAACAGCACCATACCATACATGGTACGGACGTCCTCTCTCGTTTGACGGTGATTAGGTGGTTTTTAGCTTCGACAGTGCTCTCAACGAACTCAAAAACTAACCCTTGTTTTGATTTGCAATTGAGTTTGATTTGGGCGTGCCACGCTGAACGCTCTAGTGGTTTCTTTCCTGATCGTCCTTCCATTCACAATCATTCATGGATGTCTCCCTATCAAGGTGAATTCAACTCAACATGGAAGGCGCCTGCACGATCGCTACCAAAGGTTTTGTTTAAAAGGAATGCGATGCTTGTCTTCCTATTGGTTCAGGATCGCAATCAAGTAATGGTTACAATTTTCCATTTTTACAACTAGGTCGAATGAAACAAGCATAGACGAATACAAAAGAGCTCAGTAACTTACCAGTTCTTTAGGAAAATCATAATGTGCAATAACTTCCATGCAATGGCAAGTTTCAGATTTCACACTGCCATTCATGCATTTGGGTATTTCAATTCTTCTAGCAAAGACCAAAGATGACACAGAAAAGGTGAGTACTTGATCACTTTGTCGCTGTGCACCAACATGCGCTTATCGTGATTGTGGCACTGCACAATCGTGCTGAACTTTGTAGAGTTCTTTATTCACGTTTCTGGAGCCGCTTTCGCTATCCGTGTGGTTCTCGCTCATCGGCGCTTACCTCTGCGTATCGTTCATGATGTACCTATTGGCAAGGTTCAGCCCTTACGAATGGTGAGTGAAATGGCGCACTGGTGAAATATTCTGTGGAAACAAACTAAGATTTTTTTCGTATCGACATAGTGTTGAACTTCGTTTGATTAATAAAATAATATTTCGAAACCGACTTTCCATGAACCTCGGTATCACTAATCAATATGTATTCTTTCTTTGATGAGCTTACACGAGGTTGATAATGATGTTTATTTTCGGCTAACGTTTCGACGTCTTCGCCTTCCTCAGAGCCGATGATCCGAGTCGATGGTCCTCGCTTGCTATTCGCCTCGACGTGGCAGCTTCGCCTTCATGTCGAGTTAGGTCTTCTTCAGTGAGCCATCTCCTCGAACGAGACATCCTTACTCAGCTCATCAAAGAAAGAATACATAATAAAATAATGTTTTGATAACCAGTAAGGATTCTATAAGGTTCCACTGAGTTCCAGCTCCTTTCCCATCTGTTTTAATATATGTCATTAAAAAACAATACCTTAATTAGACGGTCTGTCCACATGTGTCGCAAGGGCCCCCAGCATTCACTCAATCGTTTCGTTGGCCTATAATCGTCGTCAACCACAAAGGTAATACGTCATGTATGTCCAGCTGCAACTTGAGAATTTGCTATGTTTCGTCGTTATTGACAGGCTTTCAATGGAAATCTAAGGCAGTTGTGCCGGGGAGTTTCTAGCTCATCACCGTTAGCTTCTTAGGAGACGTGAAAGGGTTCTATACATAGTAAAGAACCTTTGTCTTTGTATTTTGAGCTTGGGTAGTTAAGAAAATGACATTTTTCGCAGGTACGACATTGAGAAAATCGACGGCCGAGACCGAAGCATCGAGAATCAGAAGAATCAGTTCAGTGTTCTGAATTCGTTATGGTTTTCCGTTGGTTCATTGATGCAGCAAGGTAGTGACGTCATACCGAGAGCGGCCGCCACCCGAATAGTTGCAGTTATTTGGTTAGCGTCAGCAGAGATGAACCTAGTGCCCAAAGATGATCGTGGAGTTGATTTAGGTGGATGTTCACCCAGATTCTCATTTCGTCCTATACTGCTCAGTTAGCTGCATTTCTAACAGTAGAACGAATGACTACACCGATTGAGAGGTGATTGAGCTATGTCTCGAAAGCATGTCATAAGGTAATCCGGAGCATTCAGTATAATTCGATTTCAGCACTGCTGACCTAGCGAATCAGCAAAAGATTCGTTATGGGACTTTGAAGAGTGGCAGCACCATGAACTTCTTCAAGGAAAGTAGGATTCCAATTTATGAGCGAATGTGAGTTTCTTGACTTTTCACCACTTTTATTTGCTCCTCTTACATTTTTAGGTGGTCTTTGATTCACCAAGCTTAAACTATTTTGAGTTCAATTCACATGGCTTACTTTTTATTTTCTGCCTTCTATTATTTTTATGGCAGGGTATTAAGCGAAATACCGCAGACACCTGCGGTCCGGAGTTTTGCAAATATCTCAGCGATTTTGTGGTTGTATTTTGAGTTGCATTAGCAATTCCCGAAACCGGACTTTCCACTAATCTCGACATTGATGAAGTAATTCACTATTTCTTGGTGAGAAAACACGAAACACTACTTTATTCTTTATTGACGGAAAGCTGGCATTTCATCTTCAAGTTTAAATTTATCACTTAGTCACTTCACAGTCTTCGCACGCATCGCGATCGCAGCAGTTTATCAATTTGTCGACTCATCCGTGTTTATAAAGTACAAGAAAGAAGTAAATCTTAAAACTAGTGCAGATTTTTTAGAGCTGTATTGCACGGGACCTAAGCAAGCATTAAAATTTTCCATTATACTGGGAAGCCAAGTCAAAGGTCATTTAAAAAAATCCATTCAAATTTACCGTGTGGATTCAAAGCAGCACATTAACAAATTCTTGACGATATTAAGCTAACACGTGGCCAGGTCGCAGTAGACCAACACTCTTGACAAGCGCGTTGTCAGGTAAGTGGCACGACCAGCTCAACGAGAACCAAAGGTTCTGTGCACAAGAATTAAACATCCAAGCAGCGAAAAAACCTACGAACAAAGCTTGTATTGTTACGGGGTTGCAGTGATCTTTCTATGCTCCTCAGATCGTAAATCAAGTAGTTCCCGAGTCCTAGCAAAACTATCACTGTAGTGCACAAGTAATTCTACCAACCTTACTAAAAATTACAACCTTGGCCGCGTGCATTGGGGTTTCCTTCCTCCGGCTATCGGTTCTGAAGGAATTCCTCTTCAACAAAAAAATCAATGCTGGTTCAGGTATATGAAGAAGGAGTAAATTTAAAGGTTCTGAACTTTTGGGAAAACCTTTTAAGTCGCAGTTAAATTATTGAAGACTTTTGGCTTCGTCGGCATGTTGGACACAACCAACGACCTGCTTTTCGCTCACATGTGCACGAACATGTTTGTACATAAAGAAGGTATATGTCAGTCTGGTCCAGTAAAGTCGGAGATCGTTCCCGGAACTTATCTACCTCGCGGCACATGTTGTCAGTTTTGGTTCCGTTTCAACAACCTGTGCAGCCTGAGAACGGAGATATATGGTCTTGTAAGTACTTTGGTTAAAAGCCCTCAATTTTTGAGGGATTCAGGAAAATTTGTTCTTAGCGAAAACATGTGCACATTGAGAGCCTATTTAACAGCTGAAATTATTTTTTCGCTGGAACAACAAAACTCCTTGCGAATTACTGGCATCTGAAGGTTTCTTCTTTTCAATATCGACTTTAATTTAGCCTCGGCATGGATAATCAATGACTTGAATTACTGGCAATCATGTATGAAGTTGCTGTAAATCGTTACTGTGTACCACATTTCGGCTTGCTTCGCCGCCTTCTTCATGACAGCGGTGATTCAGGACGAATGTCCACAGCAGTCCTTTCCTTTTGCATCTTGTGAGTCTTCCTCGTGTATAAAGAGGTAATAATGGTTCATGTCACTTAATTAGCGGTCTTCTTCGCTCCTTTGGCTGATGGCTTTGGCGGCATGACTAGTATTTACTGGGTAGTCAGTGGTCACTTAATTTGTGAAGTATTGCACTCCACTTGATGTGGCTTCCAACACCCACAATGCAAGAAGCAACTGCAGTGGTCATGGCGAGTCAATATGAGTGACTAGCGCTCTGAAGAAGGTCATGGTTTCAAAACATGGGCCATAATAAAGATTTGTAACACTTTCATGTGGGGCTCATCTGCAAACTGGGACAATGGCTTCTTCCTTATTAGAGGATGAGAGTATGTATGTCTAAGTACATTTATAGCACCTCTGGAGCATAAAAATATGTAAACGATCAAGCAAATTTCGCAAACACGCATTTTATTAGTGAAATGTGTAACTATATATGCCAACTCTGGGGCGCGTGTGGTGCAGTGGTCGGAGGAGCCCCGCAACACACTCATGGAATCGATCCCCGCGCCCACAGCCCACCATGCCTTCCATCCCTCCGGGGTCGGTAAATTGGTACCAGAAATGTCTGGGAGGATAGCAGCACTGGCTCGATACATCGGTAGGCCACCGGGTGTCATTGTAAAGGCCAGATATGCATTCAATCACCTCCGAGCGATGTTGGATAAAGTCGAGTGCATGGCGCATCGCTCAGAGATTGATCAACGTCGAGAGCCTTATCCTTTTTTATTGATACGCGAACTCAAGTGGTATAGAAAATTATGTGTTGCATGTCGACCTGCGAAATATCTAAGAAGCACTCAGCTACTGAAAATTAGAATAATACGGAATCCTTTGCGCTATTCTCCCAAATTCGGTTGTTTTAATATTTTTTTAAAACTCTGAATATTAAAAACTAGTTCGATTCAAGTGCGTGTGGAGTAAGAATAAACTGGTGAAACTACTCGCTTTTTCGGGGAAGAAATGATAGCGAGCAAAGTGAAGGCCAGACCTAGTCAATAGGTTTTAAAATTGTGATTTCCATCGCTTTTTCTTGGCACTTATAGAGGGGAGGCAGAGAGAATTCACTAGGATTTCTATCTGAATGTATAGCCTACACCAGTCGATTCTTGCCTAGATCTGATAAACCCTTCCTTCTACTTGATCACGTACATTTTGCAGTACTCATCATATCTTCATAGGTCTTCAAGTCGAGCGTCTTCTTAACTGTTTAGGTGGTCAGTTATGGAATCCGCGTCTCCTACTGTCTTTGTAAATAGCTCAAAGGTAAGCAAGTGATTGATGTTTTTTTATCAAGTTTGGAGTGCGACGCAAGAACGGCTGTGTTGAAGTTCACTGAATGTGCAGAACTTATTCTCCAAAGTTCGCCTAATACACAGAACAAAAAGAGTTGCAAGGCACAAGGTCATTGTTACAATGTACATCTTGTCCTGGTTACTACAAAATTCTTGATTGCTTTAAAGCCATGACTTTCGACGAATTGCGAATACTGTTTGGTGTTAGCGAACGCATTATGCAGTGGTGTGAAGATCCTTGAAATACGGACGTAGTCGCTAGTTCGATCATGTTCCCCGAACTCACCAAACTTCCGCCTCCAGGGACCTGCAAAATGGTACCAGACTTGTATAGGGGAGGGTAAATGCGCATGATACATCGATAGGTCGTCCCGTAAAAGTCATATACTCCAAATATATACAGTCGCGTGCATGGCGCATCTCTCAACAATTGGGGATTGATCACAGTAAACGGTTAATCCTTTATTCTTTTAAATGGTTGACAACCAAATTTCCGTCGTCAAATTACTAAATGTGTAAGCAAAAGCGAAAAATTTTCGCTCCCTCTAAAAACAGAACCCGAACCTTTAAGATACATTATGAATTTTTAAAGGAAGGGATCGCACGTGTGAAAGCAGGGAACTACGCGTATATGATGGAGTCGTCGATGCTCGAATACTATATGGAGCGAGACTGCCATCTGCAGAGAATTGGCGGATTACTCGACTCAAAAGTTCGCTCTCAGTTGCGCTGATGCTTGGACGGAAATCTTCATATGTTTTAATTTAGGGCTACGGTATAGCGCTTCCAAAAGGCTCACCACTTAGGGACATCTTATCTCGCACGGTTCTCCAGCTTCAAGAAAGTACTATTCTCGAAGCGCTTAAGAATAAATGGTGGCGCGACAAGAGAGGTTTGTTTTGTTGTAAGTTTTATCTTCTTAAACTAACCTTATTTATCAATACAAATGCAGTTTAGTAGATGTAATTACTCTTATAGATGGTCCTTCTTGTGCTCCTCAAGCGGAAACCTCGCAAACATCGCCACCACAGAGCGTATTTGGTTCGTTACTTTCCAACAATTCCTAGGCACATACAAATATTAGGACTTGAATTTTTAAGTCTTATCGAATAAAATTAGTCTCAATAGAGCTGTTGAAGCATGCTTTTAACCTGCTTTACCCACTGACTACCATTGTATCTTCCAAATTCTTCTAACTTTAAACTTATTCTAACCCTTTAAGATACTGCTAGCGTCCTTAGCAATATGCTACAACCAATAAAATATAAGGATATGTGGAAAAAAACTGCTGCTTTTCGCAGACTTTGTAAACTGAATATGAATAGATTTGAATTCCTTCGATTGATACAAGTCTGGGATTCTGGAGTACACTGGCCAAGTCTGCAAGAAATGCTGTAATGAACCATCCGTTGGTCGACAGTAAGGAACAAACGAATATTTGGAAGTGGCGCTAATAAAAGGAATAAAATTCGCTGCTTCTTTCGTGTATGGTTAATTAAATGGTGATAATGCATGGAAACGATGCTCCTCGGTAGGATACATCATTTCTTCCTTGAAGAAGGAGCCAATGACCCAATCATGTGAGAATCTAAAACATAGGTTCAGTTTGGGTTTTTCTGATGTTGTGTCGGTTTCTGAGAAATAAAAGACTGAACACTAAGAATGTACTAAATCACTAGTTCTGATTGCTAGTACAGCTGTAATCCTACCTTACCTTTGAACCAAAGATCAACAAGAAGCCGGATTAATACAAATTATGAATTCCAATGAATTTCTTTTCGCCATAAGAAGTGAGAAGTGCGTTCTTCATTAAATTTTCATTGGTTTTGACGAAATTATTTAAGAATCTCGTAGTTACAATCTTAAACCTTTTATTTACTGCCTTTTTCTTTTTAATGGCAGGGTATGTTGCGAAATATAACTCGTATAAAATGCTGAGATATTTGCAAAACTGCGGATCGCAGTTGTATGCGGTCCGCAGTTTTGCAAATCTCGTAGTTAATCAAACTGAGCTTGTACCATAAAATCTAAAACGGCCACTTGTTCTGTTGTAAATCTCTTGTCAGTCTCTGAAGGTGGCCCACACAAGCCGTTCAGTAAATGTTTTTGAGAACTAGAAATATCGTCCTAATTCTATCCTATTCAAGGGATTTTCTACGTCCTTATTACGGGACTTCTTATCTCGCTAGTAATGGCTATTGGTGAGTACTGCATCGAATCCAGGCACGACACCTTTCGTCTTAAGTTTACCGTACTCGGGAAGGTACGTCGTATCCTGCTCTTTAAAAAGTCCTTGAAGTGTCATCTATTGATTCAAAGTCGGTCTTCCTTTACAACTCATTTCAAATAGATTCGCTACTGGTGGACAGGCCTGTACGCCGAAGAAAAAACGGAAAAGGCTCGAAACAAATTGTGCAACCTGCAGCTTGACACAGCCGGCCAACCACCTCCCAGAAAGTGAGTTCAGTTCCTTGATCAGAAATTTTAAAAAAAGCACCACTATCATTGCGTTTATAAGAATGTTTTCTCGAAGGAAATCCGGATTTTCGTACCTGAGGTTGTTTCATGGTGCCCGTGACATGACTAATTTGTTACCGCCATTTCCCTGTGTTGTGGTTATTTTCGTCATTTAACAATAAATGCTCAATCCTTATTGTTCCTTGTTCCCTCTAATTTTTTTGGCGAGCGAAAACCTTTCGGTCGAGGTTTTTGTGGTTCTGCTGTGTAACACTATGTTCAGATGAAATCATTCTAGAGTTGTGACGCAGCTGCGCTTCAAGAATGGCGACCACTTATCCTCTTTCGTTCATGTGGCATCATTGTGATCTATGTGATTCCCCTTTGTTGTTTGCTATCCACTGAGTGTACTTGTGTTCATCGACGAGACGAGGTGATATATCTGAGCTACGTGCTCCCTCAATGTGAATGATTGAGCAAAGGACTTGCCATAACGACAATGCTGGTCCAATTCGCCCTTGTGTGGTGAGGAAGAGGTTCTTCTTTCAAGCAGTATACTTTGCCTTTATAGTCTGATGCCGCCACCTTCGTTCGATGAGCAGGTGTTCTTCATTTGTGACGGCTCGCAACGATCTCGTGCTCCGTCCGCCATCAGTACCGAAGGTCTTCGACGGCTCAGTCGCATGCTTCCTGCCAATCACGAGCAACTCATTCATAATCGGCTCAAGAACAAAAACATCTACAAATAGTCGCTTATGTTATGAATGTCTCGTATTTTTATACACCTCTATTTTTACCGTACTCCAAATCAGTTAATCAGGTCTCTTGCTGTCAATCTTTCGGAACTGTTTAATGATGTCCATAAATGTTCACTGATACCTGAAAACGCACAAATGTACAATTTTTCTTCTAAAACATGGCTGTGCCTATGGGTATGGAACTACCAATAGCACTAGGACTTTGCAAAAGCTTAGGAATAGTTGTCGATTTCTGAGAGTAGATGTTTCTAGAAGTATTTTTTCTTGAATCAGGGACGATGTGTTTTTATTGTTATATTTTATGGTTTGCTTTGCATTTTTAGACTACTCCGATAACTAATAGGTGCATTCTGTGAGCTATGAGTAGACCAGTCCTGGAGAAAACAATAGGTTGTAAGCAGCTGGTGGTTTCATTAATGGGAGCTGCAAGAAACGCTTGATAGTGTTTAACTAGGAGCGAAGGGATTTACTTCGCCAAATTCCACTGATCGACGAATGCGTTTGAAGAAAATTTGATTACGTCTCTGTTATAATTAACTAGAAGAATACTATACCATCGCTGACGTGTTTATCCAATGTGTAGCAGTGACCACTTGTCGCGCAAAACGGAGAACGCTCTAGCACGACTTGATCGCTGGAGTCAAGAAGAATAATCAAATAGTGATTGAACCAGCAATAATTCAACCTCTTTGAAAATCCTACAAAAAAACCCAGCAAAAAAAATCAAGTTTCCTAGCTGCTCCATATATGACGCGAGTCATTCAAATCGCAAGTCGGAAAGAACTTGACTGCAATCGAGCGAAACGGTTGAGATTATTGATTCGCCTGCAGCTAAAGCCTAGATCGTTTTCCGTTGCTGCTAATCTTCACGTTCTCTAGGAACAGGACGGGGACTGATCTTTCCACAAAACTCGTTTTTTAGAGTTAGGAAAATTGTATCAATCTACGATCTATTCGCTGAATTACTTCTATGAGCTCATAGAAAATTCCTAAACCGAAGATTCAATCACATCGCAGACACCTTTACAAACAAAGCCATAAGCGTGTGAGACCACCATCATAGAGTTCACGTGGAATGTGTTGCTTTTTTCTGGGATCGAAAAATAAATCTGAGGTGCAAAGGTTACACGCATCTAACCGAAGCAATCCTCTCCACGACTAACTTTCAGAGTTTCTGCTTTTTCAGATGATTTCTAGACTTTCCTGCGCAGAGCTTTTTGGACACTATGCTTGGGGCATCAACTTTTAAATCCAAAAGCAGTAACTTGGAAGACTTTAAAACTCTCACTTAGATATTTGCTTCTCCAAACACGGTTTTCCAAACCAGCCTCGTCACCGTTGGTCTAATATAGTCGAATCTAAGAAATCTAAAAGGGATTACAATAAGTCCTTTACTATGGTGCTCTTCCAATTTGCATCTGAAAATAGAGTGCGATGAGGTGTTTCTTCTTAACAGCCGTCGGCTTCATCTATTGACACAACTCTTGACCAGATTTCTGGTCTATTTCACTAACAAATTCCAATTGCCACTCTATAAAGATTTATAAGAGGATATAGATTCACTAAACCCTTGCACGGGTAAGATAGTATCAGAGATGACAATTACAGGTGCAAAATTGTGGTTTCATCTCACCACAGGCCAATCAAACGTTCCATCACTTCCAAAAGCAGCAGCCGAATCCACCCACAGTGCTAATTTGGGTTATCGATGCAAAGAAAGGAACCGCATGCAAGAAGTGCTTGGTTCTGTAAAGTGTGTGATCTCAGACCATATGGTAGTCTTTGAAAAAAAACCTTTCAAAAGCCGGTGTGTCATTCCTCTAACGGTGTTGTCATTAAAGAGCCGGGCAAAATCCACCACAGTGGTGCTGAGACATTTCCAAAACTCTAAACCGCAGGAGACGAATCGAAGGCTCCGCAAGGTGTGGTGATGAACGCATTAGCCCCCGGATATGGTAATAACGTGTTCGATCCCTACCGCAAACATCTGTGGTGCAGAGTTTTGCAAATATTTGAGCATTATTGTGGTTATATTCCACATTACATCTTGCCGTGAAGAATTACAGTAGGCAGAAAATAAAAAGGTTAACGTTGTGATCCACCCCATTGCTTGTCCAGTCACCACTGGGCTCTTCGTAAGCTTATCACAACATCACCTTTCTTCTCATTCCGTCTCTGATGCACTTTTTTCAAAATCATTGACAGGTAGTACAAGAGATTTCTTAGTACCCTTGGTGTCTTCAACTTCTTATTTTCACCTCGACAACAAGCGGATCGTAAGTGAAACACAGTTCGTCTCCCACCGCCGTGATCAACGGCTACGAAATTCGATTTTCGGTCAGTGATGGATAGTTCCTTCCTTTTCAGTCGCTACGACGAATCATGTCATTGCATCAAATCGGGAACACGAAATCTGAAATGTGTTGGTTGGTTGCTTTCATACATGTTACTATACACACAGGGAGCACAATACATAGAGAGCCTTTTCGAATTCTTTTTCTTACTAACATTTAAATCATGCCAAAATCTCTCTTCAACCTTTAAAGAACTTAAGAATCTATGGATTTGTCTTCTTACTGACATATTAGATGTTTATCGAGCGTGATTTTCCCTCACAAGACACCACAGCGTCCTCAGGTGGTCCCCACAAGCAGTGGCAGGCTTGTCTAGAACGGATGAAGGCTTGCTGCTGACCCATATTCTTCTAGAACGAAAGTGATTAGAGACAGCAGCGAACTCTGCCTTTCGCGGACCGACCTTTCGATGATGATGAAGCAGAATTCTGAACAATCCTGATCTAAAAAACTCTGTTGTTGTGGTTGAACTTCCATTTCGCAACACACGTGTGAACACCGTACAGCGCAGCGTTGTGTGGCTTGCCCTCCATTCAGGAACACCCATTTGGAAAAGCTAAGTTTAATAAATTTTATCGGAGTATTTCACTAGGAACACATAATGGATAAAACGGGGATCAAGAACCCTAACTTGCAAAAGGCGTTTATGATTAACACTAAAACATTGAAACAAAAAATGAACTGTACGGACAAGTTCATCATAATAACACGTGATCATCCAAATGGGCGGCTGTGGAGCAGTGGTCGAAGGCGCCCTGCGAAACACATGGAATCGATTCCCGCGCACTTGACCCACCAAATATTCCACCACTCAGGGGTGGCAAATTGGTACTAGCCTTGTCTGCACGGGATATCAAAAAATAAAAATGACCAGCAGAGATGGATAAGAGAAGGATGGATCATAGAAACCGACAACTGCGGTAGATCCGAAAAAGTAAAGATTCATTGGCCTGTGCCTTCAGATGAGAACTGCTAAACTGCCACCATTAAGAGATCATTGGAGCACTTGCTACATTTTAAGACCTTTCCCTCTTAAGTCTGAAGAAATGGTCAGATACAGATTTCAGAAGCTCGTCTTTATTTGACTAAACCTAAACCAATACCAGGATCCACCACCGCCCTGGTATCAAAGCCGCATGGTGGTAAATCCCCCTCTGATCCACAAAGGTTGCGACTGCCTGTGGTGGTGAAGACCTGGGGCAGACTTTGGCCAGGCTGACCTCGGGATTCCAGGGAACCATAATGAATTAACCAGAAAATCTCCGAAAAATGGAGATTATACTAGAACCCGCGCAACCAGCGAGGACGGGCCATTCAAGTATCAAGTACCAAGTGTCTTAATTTGACTTCAAAAACGTAGTGTATCGAAGAATATATGAGTCATTCATCATCAATATACAACTTTTTGTTTACTCTTTGTTTATGCCTATTACTTTTTAAATATAGAATAAAAGGACAAAGGATATAGCTCATGGCGTTGATCGAGCCCTGAGTAATGCGCCATGCAATCGAGTTCATTAAGCATCGTTGTAGCTGATTGAATGCATATTTAGCCTATACAATTAGTCGCGGTGGCATACCGATGTAACGAACCCGTGCTGTCATCGCTACATGTGCCGCTATGGCAGAATATGATGTGAAATACAACCACCATGATGCTAAGATGTTCACAAGACTAGAATTCTACGCCAGATCCGAACCAGCGATTACTCTTTCCCCAAGGTTTCCCCAAGCTAGGCCTTCGATGGTGCAGTAACAAGTGAGCCCTAAAAATGGGTAATGACGGATTTGAGGCTGGCCTGAGGCTCTGAGTTTTAAAAATACCTCAGAATCATAGTGGTTGCATTCTAGATCAGTCCATATATCAGTGTGGAGATTACGAATTGCAAATTTTGCAGAATTGTAATAGTTGCAACTGTATAAATAACCAGAAGTGGACATTGTAGAGGTTCCAGGTTGCGGCAGTTGTATAGCTTACTATGAAAAGGTGTTACTTGCAGAAATCATAAACTGTGAAGATAACTGTTTTTCAATGCAGCGTTAACAGCATTAGTTTTCAGTGATGCACTACTGTACGCGCTGAATGCGCACTCTGTGCTCGAATAGGCTTTTTCATTCTATAGACTTCCATGGGAGCCTCGTCAGTAGTTTGCCAGATTATTATAGTCATGAAGTCTATTTAGTGTTCGAACATCAGTATACAGATACATAGAGATGTTGATACCGATTACTGTTTCAACATTGTTGTCCTTCTTTATGGATGTGGTATGTTAAATAGCACCACTATCACTGGTCTACTGGTGTTGCCTAAAGAATGTTCAACCCTTTTAAATACATATCACCTAAAAGAGAATCACTACGAGACGTAAACCTGAGAAACAAACTCGTCCGACAAACGTTCTTGCTTGTAAATTGTTAAGTGTAGAGAGTGGCTTCCCACAGAATATGCCTGGTAGACGACTGAATACAAAAAAGAATGTTGAGTTTTATTTACTGTCTTTTTACTAGTTTTTACGGCGGGGTATTATTTGTGAAACAACCACAGTGATGCTGAGATATTTGCAAAACACCGGACCGCTAGTGTCTGCGGTGGGGTACGAACGCGCTATTACCCATTCGGAGAGCTAACGCTTTCGC